AAGTGCTTATGTCTCTGCCTGAAAACTTGAAGTATTTTATATCAGCATAAGAATCTACCAGTAGCACTAACCAAAATTTGACTGAATTAACATCCAGGCTCAGGATTGAAGAAGAAAGGTTTTAACACGAGCCTCATGCAGATGCTTTATTTTCCAAATTCAAGGGGCAAGGACAAGGTGGTCCAAAATGTTTTCTTTGCAAAAAGTCAGATCATTTTAAGAAAAATTGCCCTCGTAATAGGCCCAGAGAAGATGACAGGAAAAATAGACATCAGACATTCACCAGGTGAAAACATGATGCCACCAAAGCGTTCTTTTATTGATGGTGGAAATATGATGGCCCACCACACCGCGTTCTTAATTTACTGGTGAATTTATGGTGGATTTCATCCGGTGGAAATCTGATGCAACCAAGCTCCAACAGAAATTTTCTGTGATTACTCTGGTGGTTTTGTGTTGGTAGTAGACCACATAACCTTAAAAAATTAACTACTGCTTATGTTATGTGACCAGCGTAGTCTTTGTTTTGTTTTTAAGCTCATTTGTTAGAAGCTATAAGATAAGAAACGGAGAACCAGGAAGCTGATGTCGTAACTTTTATCTACCATGATTTGTCATATTCATTAAAAAAACTTTGCACTGCAAAATAAATTGAACAATGGATAAATCACCTATTCCGTAACTCAAAATTCTTGAAACGGTAGTGAATTTAGCCACAAAGTGGCAAAAGATGTCGCAAGCGTTGAGCGTCAGAGTCTAGATTTGGTTCTTTTTTTCGTTGGAATCGGAAATGTCGCAAACTTCCAGAATACTCCAGAACTATAACCTTAACCTCAAAGTACAAATTCAGAGCACTGTTGGAAAGGTTGCTTGTTGCATGATAACTTTATAACGTCATCTGGAGTGCCTCAACATAATGCAAATCTCCATAAGGCACCCCACATGCGTCATCAAGTTACCTATTACCAGACAACCTATTAACTTTACGAGTTTAGGAACCTTGCACTGTTGGGGTTTTAGGTTAACAACCCTGTTTGTAATTAATGTTCTTGGCCGAATGGCAGCTTTGCTCGCATTGTCCATTTCATTTTTTCTGAATTAGAACCACAGATTATATAACATTTATATAGATATTTTCGATTTTGGTCCGCCAAAGCATTTTTTTATGTAAATTGTGGTGGATATGTGGTGCTTCCACCAATGACATCAAAGAGTCACGTGATAGAAATCAGCTGATGCAACAGTAAATTTTTGTTGGAAATCAACATAAACTTTTGGTGGAAACAAGACCACGCCCTTATAGCAGACTGCTAGTTTAGAAGGAAATGGTGGAGGCACTGGGTAATTCACAGGGTGGCATTTCAAATGCTTTTATGGGTGTACTTGAATTAATTAACACTCCAGAGGCATTATCAATGATTGAAGATGCCAAAATAGAGTTAACAGATTGGTGCTTGGATAGCTGAGCCAGCGATCACATGAGTTATGATAAAAACCAGTTTGAATCTATGGAGATGATCCAAGGCAGAAAAGTGAAGATTGGAGATGGCTCTTACCCTAGAAATGAAAGGTATTGGAAAAATTAAATTAGAAGCTTGGAATCGTAAAAGTTGGATACTCACAAAAACAAACGAAGTGTTATAATATATGTTCCTCAATTAAAAATTAACCTATTCTCATTTAGGAAAGTGCTGGATAAGCACCTGGTCATGAAGTCAGACAGAGACAAGTGTAAAATTGTTAACACAGAAGGACAAGTAAGAGCTCTAGCAAAAAGGCAAGGTAAGCTTTTCAAAATGATTTTTAGAAATGCTGATACAGGCTATGCCAATTTAATTGAAAGTGTTTTGGAGTGGCATAATAAAATATCTCATGTAAATTTTCAACAGGTTAGATCAATATTGAAACAACATTAGAATATTAAATTTACAGAACATGACAATGTTGTATGCAAACCATGTCTTTCTGGAAAGCAACATAAGTTACCATTCCAAAATAGCACTAGTAGAGCTTGTAGAACCAATGAATTGATTCACACTGATTTATGCGGTCCTTTCGAAATTGAGTCTCTACTGGGAGGTTCAAGGTACTTTGTCTTGATAAGAGATGACTATTCTGGGTTTAGAGTAGTTTATTTTCTGAAACACAAGGATGAAACTAAGTCTAATATAGTTCACTTTTTGGAAATGTCAGAGAATCAAACAGGAAATAAAGTTAAAGTTTTGAGGTCTGACAATGGACTCGAGTTTGCAAATAGGGACATTAAATTAATTCTGGACAAAAAGGGTATTTAGCATGAAAGGACGTGTGTAGTGAAGAGTAGAGCGAGAAAATCGTATCATAGTGGAAGCAGCAAGAACATTGCTCCACTCAAAGGACTTACCTAAAAACTTATGGGCAGAAGCCGTCAACACAGTCGTTTATGTGCTTAATCGAGTAGGAAAGTGTCTTGTAAAAAATAAAACATCCTCAGAACTCTTAAATGGAAGAAAGTTTAATCTAATTATTTGAAGCCTTTTGGATCAGAGATATCCCTTGAGATATCTGTTTATATTTCTAAAGAGAAGCGTAAAAAGTTAGTTGCGAACAATGAGATTGGCATATTTGTTAGTTACAGTGAAACAGTTAAAGGATATAGGGTGTTTTATCCAGATAAAAATAAAATTGAAAAACATCGAGATGTATTTATTCCTCCAGAAAACCATGTCAAATCGAAACAAAAGGAAAACAGTGAATTTGGACTTAAAGGATAAGGTGATCTTGAATCAGGACAATGAAGAGGATCTCAGTGAAGACGAAGATTCTGTGGCAGAACAAGAGATTGAAGATGGAGACTGCAGGTGAAGAAGAAGAAGATGATGAGGTGCAGAGAGACAGAAAGAGGCAGACCATTGAAGAGACCAGGGAGGATGGACGACTACAATATGTCTGACACAAGTTTTCTTTGTTTGGAGGAACCGTCATCATTTGAAGAAGCTATGAATAGCGATTGTGCAGAAAAATGGAAAGAAGCAATAAAGAAAGAATTGTGTGTGCTAAAGAAGAATAGTGTGTGGAGGAGTGAAGTATCATGGCCTGAGAATATACAAAGCTTGCCTTGTTACTCGCGGCTTTCAGCAAAATTGTAATAATTTCTATGACATATACTCATCTGTTGCTAAAATGAGTACTTGACTGTTGCCAAAAAATTGGGATTACCAGTTTATCAAATGGACGCGCAGGGTGCATTTTTATACGGAATTAGACGAAGATGTCTATATGTCTTTACCAGGGGTTAATAAAGAAAACAGTACGTCCATTTGTAAACTGAATAAGTCCATTTATGGCTTAAGGAAATCCCCAAAATGAAGTTTGAGAATGTAGAGAAACTTTTTTTATTGATTTATGTGGAGGATTTATTTATAATGGGAACTAACAATAATAATATAAACTGTTTAAAAAGTATGCTTCAGGAAAATTTTGAGATGAAACACTGATGTGTTTCTGATTATATAGGCATACATGTAAAACAAAATGTTAAGCAAGGTTTTGTTGAGTTGGATCAAAGTAAATACTTGTCCCAAGTTTTGGAACAATTTGGTAGGTCAAACTGCAAATCTGTGAGCACTCCAATTGATAGCAATTTTGATTTTAACTTGATTAAAAATGGAAATTATCAGGATATTGATATAATGAGAAATATCAACATTTATGCAGAAAAATCATTGGGTGTTTAATGTAGGTACCTATGTAGTTTTGGGTACAAGGCCAGATTTATGCCATAGTGTGACAATGTTGAGTCGTTTTTTTGAAAACGCTTCAGAACAATTGTTCGTAGCACTTAAAAGGGTGTTGAGAAATGTAAAGGAATCACTTAATTTTAAACTTAGGTTTGAAACATGTAATGATAAGGTTTTGACTGGTTTTGTGGACTCATATTGGGGAGGAGATGTAAACGACAGGAAGTCTCTACTACTGGTTTTATTTTTAAAATGTTTGATTGTCCAGTTTCCTAGGTTTAGTAAGAAACAACAAACGGTTTCCATCTCGTCAACCGAATCGGAATATATAGCTCTATCTGTGGCAGTAGTTATTTTAGTCTTTTTTTTTATTATTTGAAAGAACCAATAGGCATTTTCGAAGATAATCAATCAGCCATAAAAATTGCTAATAATCCTGAAAACAATGGACGTTTGAAACATTTGGATATTAAACATTTCTTTATTAAAGAAAAGTTGGATATTGGTTTGATTTAATTAAAATTAAAATTTTATATTTGAAAACAGAAGATCAGGTGGTTCCTGATATGCTGACCAAACCAGTTACAAAAGCCAAATTGTTGAAGTTTAGAGAGCAGGTCAATTTAGTAATCCTTATTTTTGTGGTGGTTCGCGTTAACAAGGGTGGGTAGTCGCTAACGAAATCTCAATATGCAAGTACGCTTCCCCTGAAGGCTTGTTGTATTTTTCCCGCAAACAGTTTTCTATTTTGGTATTCGGTATAATTGTATAATTAAACTTGAGTTTTGGTTCTAGTTATTTTGTTTTTACACTGGTTTAGTGTCTTTGTGTTAGCATTGTTGTGCTAGTTTGCGTTGCTATGATTGAGATATAAAATCGATGAGAATTTTATTTAACTGGCAACTTAACCACAAATTACTCAGCACATTCTTCGGACAAACTGGAGAGTTCACGAAATCAAAGGACATTCAAGATTGTCTGCCGTAGAGAATCCCTGAAGATGAAACTTGCTTAGTTTTGAAACGTCTGCGTTTTTTATTTGAATATTTAAATAATATTGTTCAAGAAAGCTGTTGAATTTTTTTTTCAGTAAATACCTACATCAATATATATCAATCTTCCTGAGGAAAATAAACACCCTTGACATCCCTGATGATACAATAATAGTCTCTGATACAATGATCGAGGAGGCATTCGCTAACTATTTCTCCAGTATCCACTGCTCTCTAGATATCTCAAGGAGAGATTTGCCATTGTGAATATTCTGACGTAAATTCTTACCTATTGGCGTAAGTGCGTCTCCATCACCCTGGATCGGTTCCTCCTCGCTACCAAACCGTTTCATGTAAGGGGCAAGAAAACTGGTAACAGCCGACAAACCGAAAAGTCCACCAGCCACGTAAAAGGCAATATCGTGCGATCCAAAAGTATCCAACAACCACCCGGCTAATGGCGAACCCACAATCGCGGCAGCTCCACGGAACAAAATCAAAAGTCCGAAAGCGTTGGTGAGTTTGTCCAATCCGAGAAGATCCACAAGGATAATTGAGGTAAGGGAAATATAGCCGGCTAAAAAAAGAAGTTTTTTTTTTATTGGAATTAATTTCCGAAATAATACTTACAGACGGCAATTCCAAAGGCAACAGCCATAACTACGTAGGCGGCGTAAGTATGGCACAACGGTGTAGCGGCTACGGCAATAGTAGAAATGATAAGGCAAATATTGTTAACTAAAAGAGCGTTGACTTGAGGAAAATCGGCGAAGTATCCGCAAGCGACTCGACCAAAGGTATTGGTTATACCGATAATTGAGATTAGAAATGATGCTTTGGTTGGTTCTATACCCTAAAAAAAATATACATATTTTCAGAGTGATGTACCATCGTCACCAAAAGTGACTGAGACAAAAATAATTCATATTAATCTCCTGGACTATTCCAAGTTAACCTAGATAAAACTAAAATTATTCATAGATTGACAAATACCTGACTCATCTAAAATCATATAATAGTACAAGAGCTAGTCACAGTTACTTTTGGTGACGATGGTACTCTACTGTACATAGTGTACTTACGTCAGCTATTGCGCAGTCGGTCAGGTACACAAACGGCACGTACAATCCGGCCATACCGAAAAAATTAGATATTGCTATAAACATGAACACTGGATCTTTCAACAAACTCATATCCATCATTTGAGATAGGGCAGTCTTAAAGCTATCTGGTAAGGCAAGGCATGGACAAATATCGGCAGCTGAAAAACAACTAATTTTATTACCGAATTATTATTTTTTGAATCATTTACTTACGTGATCCATCGTCCAACTGTTTCATTTTAGGAATACTCATAATACTTTGACGGTAATTCGTTAACGATTTCTGAGACTGATGGAATTCGGGTAAATTTGTAATTGAGCCCGAATAGAAAATGTCTTTTCTAGACAACGGTCTGACCATGTTGCCTTTTCTACTAGCCAAAGACATTTTTGATGTGGTAAATCCTAAACTTTCTACATCTACCTATAAAGGCAAAGAAAACAAAATTATTATATAGTCAAAAATCAAACAAACTAATAAATATAGGGATGAACAAAACACTACCTCTCTTAGTAAATTTTCAGGACTTCACACAGTGAACAGATTTACTCTGACTCTCCCAAAAACCTATTAATAATAATCAACCAATAGATTCTCACAAACATATTTCCAATACTTACTTCACTATTATTATTTCGACTTAAAAATGAGCCTGTGGAAGTGTTTCTGAGCCTTCTCATGTCAGCATTGGATCCTAGTTTGCCTCTTGAAGCCGATTTGATTGGATCCAATGTTGGTTTGAATTTTTCACTAACTGACGTTTTTCTGATACGATCGAAGGTTGGCACCGAGCCGTTTTTGGGCAAACCTAAATCAATTATTAGTTATAAATTTAAAAAAAAATGCTGAAAATTCTTGCCTGGAATTTGAGACGAAAACGCCGGTTGACTAGCGTTCCTAGGCAATTTCGGATCTTTTCCCTCCCCGTTGCTGGTGACTTGGCTTTTCAGTTCTGATAGTCTTGGATGTTTGATTTCTGCTTGGCTCTCTCTAGGACTGGGACTACCCGAACTGCTTTGTTCTGTCACTTTTACTTCGGCGATGGTTGGAAGAGTAGGAACGGTTGGAATCGGTGTTATTGGCGTTCCTGGTGCTAACTGGTCCAAATTCAGACTCGAGTGGACACCTGTATCAGGATTTATTAATTATTGTTTGTTAGGTAAGCATAACTGTGTGTGTAAGTAATTTCACAGAGCTTTCTTATTGAGACGATTATGAGTTGTTACAAATAGAGGCTTATTGAACTTTTTAAACAATAATTCGAGAATAATTTTTTCTAGTTTGTGACATCAGTTTAAGTCAAAAAATAAAGAATGTTGGAAAAAAAAGTCTGTAATGACCGACGTTTCAAGCTAAATTAGGCCATCCAGGGCAAACTAATGTTTTACATGAGAAACTTTCAGCTCATTATAAGTTATTTCAAACATCTACACTGGAATCAAGTATATCCGTAGTGTAGACATACAAAACTGAAATGCAATATAATTTGAAAATGAAGGAAACTGAGAAAATTGCTAAAATTAATTATTGGTAATTGATTCTGTGCCAATTTTATGTTGGCAATAAGATTTTGAACGTTCTCAAATCACTTATTAATGGTTTGTATTAGCATTGCAACATGCATAAAAATACCAACAAAAAGACAACCACAGGAAGAACAAATTATAAAATTAAATTAGGAATCAAAAATAATACAATAGATCACATTTTCATATTGAAAAAAATTATACAAATTGAATGATCAAAATGAAAGAAGTGTATGGGATTTGGAAAAAGCATTTTAGTTTTAATCCCTTAGACCCCTTACCGAGTGACCCAATAACACTTTCGATAGCCTCATTCGTACACACATACAGAATTTTTACAAACTTCTTCAAGAAAACCCACCTGAAAGGCTTGATCTACCCTCATCAGTGGTTCACTCGAAAAACCCCCTCCTCAAACAATGGGTTTCCGGGTTTCATGGAGGCGTATTTTTGTAAATTAAATACTACCCATAGGCGTAGATAAAAGATTTTAACAATTATAATTTGCTTGCAGTCTTATCAATCTTTTTATGTATAGGCACGCCAATGAACTAATCATGATTAATGTATTCTGACACATTTATGTGTACAGGGTGTTTCAGATTCGAGCCACATCATTGGGATCTCGGACCCTTATTTTTTATTTTAGATTTCACAAACTTCTGATGTCCCAAAACTAATGACGTATTGCACTTATTCAAAAAATTTATATTATTGGTACTTTCCATAAGAACCAAATGTGTTAGAGAGAGACAGAGAAGAGAATTTTGGTAGGAAATTACTAAAAAATAGAAAAAAATATTTTTTCGAATAAATGCGATATGTCATAGGTTTTGGGACATCAGAAGCACTCAAAATCTGAAATAAAAAATCCAGGGTCCTATTTAAAAAAATAAAGTTTATGATGGTGGCCCAAAGACGAAACGTCAGATTATAAATTTGATGGTAGCATCTTGTAGGGAAGAAAAAGTGGCTATGATGATGTGATATTTTTTTTTGGAATATCACTTCAAATAAAGTCAGGAAAAAATAGAAACAATTTTGCAAAATTTCGGTTTTTTCCGGAAGTATTCGGAATATCCTAAATATCAAAGCGGCATTTTGTTAAGCATCAAATTACGCAACTTTGCCCCCATTTAACCAACCCCGTATATCTTACCGTTTCCGAGATCCCAATGATGTGGCTCGAATTTGAAACTACTTACCCCGAGATTTAAAAAAAAGTGTGGATGATGTACCATCGTCACCAAAAGTAACTGGGACAGCATCACATTAGCTCTTGCCCTATTATATGAATTTTATTGTCAAATATTTGTCAAACTATGAATTAAATACATTGAAATGAATGACACTAGAATTAGTCCAGGAGATTATTATGCATTATTTGTGTCCCAGATACTTTTGGTGACGATGGTACCAACAGAAAAGTGGTAAATGTTTCATCTCCACAATAAAATTTGGTATTTAGAATTTTGGGGTTTTTAGGCCTTTCATGGTCACCAAAATTTTAGGCTGGTCTACTTTTTGTAAAAAAAAAACATCTTTCTTGTAGAGGTGCTAGCTAGCTAAAAGTGACTGGAATTACAGGAAAACAAAAATTCAAACAAAGCCATAGTAGAAGCGAACTGTAAAAGCTACAACTCAGTTCGCTTACAGGGTGATTGATGGTCGATGGTACCTTTAGAATTAAGGTCTATAAACCTAGCAGTCCCAAGGTGGAAAAAAACTTCGGGAACTATATAATAATTAGGTGCTTTTCAGGTGCTAATTAGGGCCTCTAATTAAAAATTAGGTGCTCCTTTAGTTTCTGAGAAAATCAAAAAAAACTAAGGGACTGCTAGGTTTATAAAAGCTAGCAGTCCCCTATAGTAAAAAATATTTTTTCAAATTTTTTCTTTGTATCAGAATTAGGTGCTTTTTAGGTGCTCCTAAATAGTCCAAGAAAAAATAGAATTGATTAATTATTAACTGAGTTATAGATTTTTTTTAATTATTAGAGGACTGCTGGCTTTACATTTAGATGTTGGTGTGTCAGAATGACGAAAAAACTTCGAGATTTATATAATAATTAGGTGCTTTTTAGGTGCTAATTAGGGCCTCTAATTAAAAATTAGGTGCTCCGTTAGTTTCTGAGAAAATCTAAAAAAACTAAGGGACTGCTAGGTTCATAAAAGCTAGCAGTCCCCTATAGTGAAAAATATGTTTCCAAAAATTTCTTTTGTATCAGAATTAGGTGCTTTTTAGGTGCTCCTAAATAGTCGAAGAAAAAATAGAATTGACTAATTATTAACTGAGTTACAGATTTTTTTTTAATTATAAGGGGACTGCTGGCTTTACGTTTACATGTTGGTGTGTCAGAATGACGAAAAAACTTCGAGATTTATATAATAATTAGGTGCTTTTTAAATGCTAATCAGGGCCTCTAATTAAAAATTAGGTGTTCCTCTAATTTTTGAGAAAATCAAAAAAAAACTAAGGGATTGCTAGGTTTATGAAAGCTAGTAGTTTGATTTTCTCAAAAACTAGAGGAGCACCTAATTTTTAATTAGAGGCCCTAATTAGCACCTAAAAAGCACCTAATTATTATATAGATCTCGAAGTTTTTCCGTCATTCTGACACACCAACATGTAAACGTAAAGCCAGCAGTCCCCTTATAATTAAAAAAAAATCTGTAACACAGTTAATAATTAATCAACTCTATTTTTTCTTCGACTATTTAAGAGCACCTAAAAAGCAACTAATTCTGATACAAAAGAAAATTTTGGAAAAATATTTTTTACTCTAGGAGACTACTAGCTTTCATAAACCTAGCAATCCCTTAGTTTTTTTTTGATTTTCTCAAAAATTAGAGGAACACCTAATTTTTAATTAGAGGCCCTGATTAGCATTTATAAAGCACCTAATTATTATATAAATCTCGAAGTTTTTTCGTCATTCTGACACACCAACATGTAAACGTAGAGCCAGCAGTCCCCCAATTTCAAGTAATTGCTGTTGATCTATCATCTATCAAAATAATTTCAACGATGCAACGTTGCCGCTTATACCAAAAAGTAATATAAAGTTTGATATTTGAAATCAGACACCTTGTATATTATTGCATTTTTCGCTCCGTTATTAGTTTTTGATTATTTTTGTACAATACCTACTGTCCTATACTTATCTGTAGTGATTTTCGACTTATTAATTAATTTCTCTATTTTTTATTAAAAACATACCGTCTTTTTATTGTTAAATTTATTTCACTATACGTTACTGAGATTCGTAGAAAGTTTAAATTTTAGAGATAACTTAGGGAGATCCTGCATATTACTTTTAAATGACGCATCTTGTTCCTATATTCGGAAATACAAGCAAGTTTCGTGAGACAATTGGATTATTTTGGGATATTGGTCTAATGGCGTTTCCGATTGGGGCGATTGGTAGATTTAATTCGCACTGAGTGTATTTCCATCTCTTTCTCTCAGCCTGTTGAAGAAACAGATAGAAACCGGAAACGCTATTGAATAGCTATGGAATGTCACAATGTAAACTATTAGGTAATTCAAACCACGTGACTTTCTATAATGGCGGGTGATGGCAAGCAATTTTTCCAATTAAAAATTATTTATTATTATTTTTTTTTTTTTTTCTTCTTTTATCTTGCGATTTTTGTTATTCCTTTGCTGGGAAATCCACCTTGACCAGTGTCCTTGTCAATCTTGTCCTGGCAACTAAGGGAACTATAGTGAAACTGATGCACTTGCCTCAGTATCCTGGGATTTCTTTACGTCGGATGCCACAATTTATACCTACCAGATTCGGAATTACTGGGTACAGACAGTATCAAATGGACAAGAAAATGGTACCTACCTGAACGGGTTTTGTGTATTGTACTGAACTGCTCCTGCTTCCCATAAGGTCAGATCTTTCCATTTTTCTCATATAATTGAATTATCTCAAGCCCTCAGCGTGGCTGAAAAACATTGAATGGTAACATACGTATTTAACTGGCCGTGTACTATTACCACTTTTGCGCCTTCTAGTTTTTAAGTTGGTTGTTTCGATAAAGTGCTTAAAACCTTACGAATGTACACCAAATATATGCATATACGCGGTATTTTCTAATCACTGGTGATTATTTACAGTATTTTCAAGTTACAAGAGTAACGCAGCTTGTCGATGAACCTACCCGTATCTCAGAAAGGGGCGAATTTGCAGCGCTTTTAGACTTGTTCCTAACCACCAATCCTGACTCGTACACAATTCAAGTAGATACTCCACTTGGTTCGTCCGATCATAAACTTATAATAACAAAGTGCGAAATGCTCATCCCACCAAGCCTACAACCACTTCCTCGTAAAATGTGGCACTATAAATCGGCAAAATGGAATGACCTAAAACAGTATTACCTGGATTTTCCATGGCAAGAGGTTTGCTTTAAAACAGCTGATCCCACTATTTGCTGTAATGAAATAACACAAGTAATCTTATCTGGAATGGACGCATATATCCCACATACAACTAAACGTAGAGCTAATGCAAAACCTTGGTTCAACAGCCAGTGTCAAACGGCTGTACAGAAAAAACAGAGAGCATATAACCTTTGGAAACGACAAC